CCCCCCCATTTTATTGAATGGTAGAATTCAGGAGTCAAAGAGACCTTAGAGGCCTGAGCCATCATCTTCTAGAGGCAATTTTCAGGGTAGCTCCCTGACCAGCAGCCGCAGCATCACCCAGAATGTGTGAAATGTGGGTTCTTGGGCCCACTCCAGAGAGAGAGAGAATAAGAAACTTCTACAAGTGGAGCCCTGGAGCCTGAATTATAACAAGCCTTTCAGGTGATTCAGACACCTGCGATTTTGAGAACCAGTGATTTCAAACATAAAAGTAAAAGAACACAGACTCTAGGATTGGAAGGGGTTCAAATCTCAATCCACTTGCTCTCTGACCTGGTGTGTGTTACCCCTTAGCCTCTGCATTCCCATCTCTAAAATGGGAGTAATAATAACCTCTCTGGGGCTGTCGTGAGAATTAATGTAAAATGTATGGTAAGCACTTAGCATTATGTGCCCCACACATAGTAAGCAGTCAGTAAATGGTTTAATATTGTTGTTATCAACTATCTCCCTAGACCAGGTACTAATCTTTTTAAACAGCATTCCAGACAGATGGCTGTCTGTGAGGAGGGAGTTTAAAAGCTCTGGCCCATTCCGAGGAATGACAGCTGTACCTATGCATAATTATTTTATATATTGAGAGAATATTTGCCTTCCTATAATTTCCATTCTTAGCTGGATCTCTGTTCTCTTGAGCCATTGAACAAGACTGTTCTACATGGCAGTTGTTCAGATATTTGAAGATAGTGTCCATGGCCATTCTGAACTTTCTCTTGTTCTGTTGCCAAAGATTAACTTAAACATAAAGCATAGTAGATATTTGAAATCAGTAGGGCCTTTTTTTTTTTTTTTTTTTAAGATAAAAGTCCTGTCACCAAGACTGGTTGGCAGTAGGTTTTTGGTGATTTCTGGTGTGTAGAGATGCCTCAGAGTTTAAGGTTGAAGCTTTCCCATGTGGACTTGTGGGCATGGCTGGAGGTTACTGTTGGTAAGGACTCTGCTTTCTGCTGGCAGGTGTGAGCCAGTCACCCCTGGAGTGTTTCTGTGTGGGTCTTTGGGTCCCAGGACGCACACCCCTTAGAATCCAGCCTCTCTGCCTTCAGGACCTCGGCCCTTTCCTGCTTTGGTTTGGGCTCCTTGGCAAGCTGCCCATGTTGTCAGGCAGCCTAGTTCTCACCTGTGTCCTCACCCATGTCACTAGCCCTCTATTTTACTAACAGCCTTTGTGGCATTCACAGTCTGTGCTACAGTTTTTGTTTTTATTTAATTGATGTCTAATTAGTAGTTGTGAAAAGTACTGGCCAAGCAAATAATACCTTTCCTAAATTATGTCATGGTGTTGTGTGGGGCAGCGGTTGAATTGCTATTTTAAAATGGGATTTCGTAAAGTAAACATGCATCCACATTACAGGAAATACTAAGTTGATGATTAATTGATGCTGTGGAGCTGGCCTTGCACTTTCAAATGCTTCCCTTTTTGTGATCATGGATCTAGTGAGGTTTCGGCAGGTCCATACCTCTGATCATTTCCAGATAGCTAATTTGCACTTTGTTTTCTGCCCTGTGGTGCTGGGCAAGTGGCCATTAGGAGACAATGTGGAGGACTCCTCTGTCTTAGCTGAAGGTCAGGGTTGCCAGAGATGATGGAATGGCCTGAGGCTGTCAGAATCTGTAGTTGAGAGAGTGCCTCTGCACATGGGCTCTGAACAGTGGGCAGTGCGACATTGTCAAGGACTTAAGAGTTCCTGCTGCTTGTTCCATTGCTTTCTTTGTATTAGTGAGGGATAATAGGTCAAGGGAAAAGTACCTAGAAAATAGCTTTTGCAGCCCAGTGGTGAAGGCTTGAGCTTGCTGACACATACCCACCCAGGGCTTGCCCACATGTGGATGATGTCTGAGTGTGTGATATGTGTCACCTGAGATGAAAGTTAAATGCATCTGCAAACAGTTTAGAGAGGTCACCGAGAAAAGAGACAGTTGTAAATTTACTAACTAGGAATGGTGCACAAGATCCATCCCCTGACCTCTGACTTTGGGTTAGCAGCAGTAGAGGATGTGCCATCTCAAGAGCTACCCAGAATGCTGAGGGCTAGTGGACTTCATTCAAGTGTGGTATTTCTGGGGGAAAGACTGGTCTGAGCTTCAGCCTAGTGGATAAATGTCAAGCAACTTCCGGAAGAGTGTGGACATTCGGTGGAAAAGGCCCTGGCCTTAGACCACTCTACCGCTGTACAATTTGACCTTAGACCACTCTTATCGCTGTACAATTTGGGCCAAGGACTTTCTGAACCTCACTTTTCTCATTTGTATTCTGTTCATTCCAGTAACTCCTACCATTGGGGACTGAGGGTGGATGGATGCAGGAAAACACCTTAACTTCAAAAGGGAAGGCAGTGGGAGAGGTCACCACTGAGCCGAGGGGCATCCAGGGCCTCAGGTTCAGAAAGTGTCTGCACTCCTCTCACCAAGTACAGTGATGGCAGCTCCTTTGCAAGCTAGACATTGCACAATAGGGTGTCCTTGGAACCAATCCATTAACCCCCTTTTCTCTGGGGTGAAAGACCTGTGTTCAATTAAACAGCTTTTAAGCCACGGAATTGATGACTTTTGCTTCCATGTTCTCCAGAGTTCACCTGCCACTAACCTGGGGCCCCAGGAATAGGCAGGCTAGCTGCCTTTATCTCGCCTGATGGGTGCCTCTCCAGAGGCGGCAATTACAGTGATAACTGACATTGAGAACTTGGCTCTCAGGAGCCTACTAATTGATTGCAGGGCCTTGTCCTCTCTCCACTGCCTACGCTGCCTTCTGGTGTGCAGTTAGCTCCAGGGCACTTCCTCAGTGCCCCATCAGCCAGCCAGAGCTGCTTGAACCAGTCTTCAGAAGGCACCGGGGTTGGTGTGGCCATGAGTTTGCACAGTGACTTAATTGTCCTTTAAACTGTGATCTAAGGGGAGCAACAGTGGACTTTCCTTCCCTGAGAAGGGGAGATGGAGTCAGTGGACAGTGCTTAGAATCTACTCCTCTGCCAAGGGGTGGGGAGTGAAGAGCGGAGCCATCCTTCACCTGATGCTTTGTATTCTATACCATTTAATTGAATTTTAGTATTGTTTTTTTCCGTTACCTAACATGGTACACCCAGTTAGTTTCAGAAGAACCACAGCGTTAAATGGTT